GAAAACAAATAACCCAATCAACAAATGGGCCAAAGACCTGAACAGACACTTCTCAGAGGAGGACATACAATCAATCAACAAGTACATGAAAAAATGCTCACCATCTCTAGCAGTCAGAGAAATGCAAATCAAAACCACCCTAAGATACCATCTCACTCCAGTAAGATTGGCAGCCATTATGAAGTCAAACAACAACAAGTGCTGGAGAGGATGTGGGGAAAAGGGTACTCTTGTACATTGCTGGTGGGACTGCAAACTGGTGCGGCCAATCTGGAAAACAGTATGGAGACTCCTGGGAAAGCTGGGAATGGAACCACCATTTGACCCAGCTATTGCCCTTCTTGGACTTTTCCCTGAAGACCTTAAAAGAGCGTACTACAGGGATACTGCTACATCGATGTTCATAGCAGCACAATTCACAATTGCTAGACTGTGGAACCAACCCAGATGCCCTTCAATAGATGAATGGATAAAAAAAATGTGGCATTTATACACCATGGAGTATTACGCAGCACTAAAAAATGACAAAATCATAGAATTTGCAGGGAAATGGATGGCACTAGAGCAGATTATGCTTAGTGAAGCTAGCCAATCCCTAAAAAACAAATACCAAATGTCTTCTTTGATATAAGGAGAGCAACTAAGAACAGAGCAGGGAGGAAGAGCAGGAAGAAAAGATTAACATTAAACAGATACATGAGGTGGGATGGAAAGGGAGAGAAAAGGGAAATTGCATGGTAATGGAGGGAGACCCTCATTGTTATACAAAATTACATATAAGAGGTTGTGAGGGGAATGGGAAAATAAACAAGGAGAGATATGAATTACAGTGGATGGGGTAGAGAGAGAAGATGGGAGGGGAGGGAGGGGGGATGGTAGAGGATAGGAAAGGTAGCAGAATACAACAGTTACTAATAGGGCATTATGTAAAAATGTGGATGTGTAACCGATGTGATTCTGCAATCTGTATTTGGGGTAAAATTGGGAGTTCATAACCAACTTGAATCTAATGTATGAAATATGATATGTGAAGAGCTTTATAATGTTTTGAACAACCAATAAAAAAAAATTAAAAAAAAAAAAAAAAAAAAAAAAAAAAAGAAAGGAGATGTTAAAGTAAATTGCTCTTGAACAGAAGACTTTTTTTTTTTTCCTTTGGGTCTAAAATAAAATGAGTAGCACTCAGATGCCAAATATTATCTAGGCAAAGAAAAAGAAGTGTGCCGACACAATAATATTTGCCAGTATAAGTATCTGAGGACATCCTAAACAACAAGGTTCTAGAAAATACCGTATTAGCTTTACAGGTTACCCAAATCTGTTTAAATTATTTCTAAAAAAAACTATTAAATCTTGGGGCTGGGGTGGTGGCTCAGTGGTAGAATGCTCACCTAGCATGCATGAGGCACTGGGTTTGATCCTTAGCACCACATAAAAACAAACTAATATATCCACCTAAAACTAATAATACATACATAATACACAAATAATAAATATTTTTTAAAAAACTATTAAATCTTAAGGGGAAAAATGAATTTCCTGAAAAATTTCAACCATGGAAACTTTCCCTCTCTGTTTTTTGTTTGTTTGCTATCATAAATGCCCTACTATGGTCTTGGTAGCATACGCCTGTAACTCAACTACAAGAGGCTCAGAATCAATAACAGCCTCAGCCACTTAGTGGGACACTATCTCAAAATAAAAAATAAAATAAATTTAAAAAGGGATGGGGGTATATAGCTCAGCATAGAGTGCTTGTTTAGCAAGCATAAGGCCATTGGTTCAAGCTCCAGTATCATAAAACAATTAATAAATACCTTGCTGTGGACATCAGTCTGTAACATTCACATTTTATAAATAATGTCTAGAATGTGTACTTTTTATCATTTGGGATTACTTCTTATGGCTATTTTCCCCAATCTTGAATAGAAACTCAAAACATGTGATACTCTGTATCACTTTTTACACAGCAGAGTTCCAGCATTTCATAACTGTTAAGTGGGGGAAGCAAGACTGGACAAATCTACAATGCATGCATTTTTCCTTTTCATTACAAATGAGAGGGTCTAAGCTATAAAATGCTTTATCAGTATATTCTATGTTATATGTTTCCCTTCTTTTGATAATTGGGGGTTTATTTGTTTTGTTTTTTGTACAAGGGATTGAACCCAAGTGCCCTTAAATACTGAACCACATTCCCAGCCCTTTTTAATGTTTTTTATTTAGAGACAGGGACACCCTAAGTTGTTCCAGGCCTTGCTAAGTTTCTGAGACTAGCTTTGACCTTGTGATCCTCCTGCCTCAGCCTCCCAAGACACTGATATTACAGGTATGTGTCATCACCCCCAGCCTAATTTGGATTTTGTAAGCAAACACATACTCCTTGTCTTAAATTTATTAAAATTTAAATTTATATTATTTTATCATGTCTTCCCTATATATAAAAGAATACTATCATGAAATTTATGTGTTATGAAAAGCAGACCCAAATTAATTTTCCCTCATATATATGTCCCCAGAGCAAAATATATACATATATATTGTTACAACGACTTCTTTTGTATTGTGTTATTATACTCCTATAACCTGATTTTCTGGGTTTTTAATTTTTTTAAATTTTTTGCATAGTAGAACAGAATATTGATGATTGTTACTTATTGCTGTTTTAAAATCTGATAGATTAATTAACACATTTTAATCTAAATAATTTACTGTGTGTGTGTGTGTATGTGTGTGTATGGTTTAGATATTTGTTCCCTAAAAGCTTATGTGTGAGAAAATGCAAGAAAGTTTAAAGGTGAAGGGATTGGGTTATAAGAGTTTTAACTTGATCAATGTATTAATCCCCTGATAGGTATTAGCTTGGTGGTAGCCATAGGCAGGTAGGTGTGGCTAGAGGAGGTGGATCTTTGGGTTGTGCTTTCAGGATGTATATTTGTCCTTGGTGACCATGTCCTAAGCTGCTTTCCTCTACCATACTCTTCTACCATGATGTTCTGCCACACCTTGGGCCCAGAGCAAAGGAGCCAACCATCTATGGACTGAGACCTCTGAAATCATGAGCCCCAGATAAACTATCCCTTCCCTAAAATTGTTCTTGTTATTTCTTTTGATCACAGTGTGAAAAACTGACTGAAACACACATACACATGTACATATATAAAGTATATGTACATATTAAATGATGTTCTAATTAACCATCATTTTACATAAATCATGGATAATTATATATATTATTATATAAATTAAAATATGTATTATATATTAAATGATAGTTATATGAAATATGCATATGTAACTATAAATATATTAAATGATGCTTAGTTAAATTTCTGTCAATTAACTGCAATTCTTATTTTAGAGATTCTAAAATGCTTTTTCACTACAATTAGAGTCTTTTGTATGTGTGATGAAGCAAAACAGAGACAGATACAGAAAAATGTTTGTTTGTTTAATGGATAGATTTCTAACATCTGTGAAGATAGCAATGTTACTTTAAATGCTACGATGGCTCTTTTCCAAAATACCTCAAGGACATTCTTTTTTCGGGTCTCGTAAATAGTTGAAGAGCAGAAAGAAAACTCCATAAATTCATAAGAAATACAACTTCCAAAGATTTTAAATCAGGAAAAACATGAACTCATAGAGAATAACATCAGAGTGAGACTAAGATTTTGTAGCATTCAGAAACTATAAACAATAAAGAATTTCTTTCTCTGTTAGACTAAATGGTTTTTGGTTACTAAATTACATTTTTTACAATTTTCAAAATAATATTCTATAGTTAGTACATTTTTACCATACAATATAATAAATTCATGAAAACTAATGTGTCACTAATGAAAATATATGTTTTGCATACAGTATTCAGACAGATGAAATGCTCAGAAATTTAATATCTCAAAAGAATATTTTAGTGGAAGGATATGAGACTACTGATTTAATAGAAAAATAGAAACATATTTAAGGATAGGATTTGATAATCTCTTTTTAATCAGGCTTATATTTAGAATGAAAGGTTACCCAATCTCTCTTGTACACCCATAAGGGCTAGGAAAAAAAGAGGGAAATAAATGCAAAACCATATTTATGAAATTGGCCCATTTATAAGGAAATTGAATGATTGACAAAGCCCAAAACAGCACTGTAGCAACTTATAACTGAAGTTTTTATTTTAACCACTATTTTTCAGTACAGGAAAAGTTCCTAAACCCACTTTCAAAGAAAGAAAAAAACTTGGATGTCAGCTCCTACAAGAAGACATGCCGTGTTTCTCTGCATTGCTTCCTCTTTGCAGAGAACATTCCAAACCCCTTCATCACAGTTTGTTTCCATTTGCATAACCACATCTGAGCCTCCAGTTTCCTGCACTCAAATTAGCCTACAAGTGTTCTCTCTCACTTCCAATTTGAACTGAACCAATGAAAGGGGGGTATTTTATTTTTTTTTTATAAAGCTATAACAAGCAATTTTTTTAAAACATGATATAAAATCAACCAGCAAAAGGTTATGGCAAGCCTATTTAACCAGGCTGATGACAAAATGCAGAAAGCAATACCACTTGTTTTGGCCAGTAATAAATGCTTCCAGACATATGATGGTAGCAAAGCTTACTTAGCCATTTGGTTAACTTTTTATTTTAATCTAGGATATACTAGGCCAGAGTAACAAACACATTAAATTCTGTGTTATGCTTCAATCTTTCGCTCCACATTTTGGCAATGAGTACATCTTACATTCTATAATTGCCAACTTCCAAGATAACATGAGACACATTGGCAAATCCCTGCTGGTTATGTTCCTTTGGCATAATGGTTTTTGTTTCATATTCACTAACAGAGTTTAAACTTTAAAATAATAAGATAGCTTTAATTTGATTTTTAACACATTTGGGTAGAAAGAATGCAAAAAGGAACACGAGTAATAAGATGAACCAGGATTACAAGAAGCTGTTCAAACACATTTATTTGGTTGTTATAAATGGATCTCTAAATACCTACCAGTGACTGTAAGAAACATGTTTGCCACAACAAGGCCAAATGAATTCCGAGCCAGACATTCGTATCTTCCTTGGTCAGCCTGGCCTGCGTCGTAGATGGTCAGTGTGCCTCCACTGTCAATATGGAATTTACCACTCTCAGTAATCTGTATACCTGCCTACCAAGTAAAAAAGGGTTGTCATTGGGAGAAAGCGTGGGTCCTTAAAAAGTAAATATTTACACTTCATTCGATGTAGTCTGCATTTGTTCAACAAATATCTACTGAGTGCCTGCCATGTATCAAGCACTATAGGAGGTATCAAATAAATCGAACAAAGAGAAGAAAGAAAGAGATTCCCAAGAAGTGCTGTTTTGTCTTCTAATTAAAATAAATATGACACTCATAAGTTCAGTAGTGTATTATTTAGCATGTGATTTTCTTAAAACCATCACTCAATAGATGGATGTAAGCAAAGTATTAACAACCTGCTTACTTCTAAAAGACAATTCTGACAATAAAAATAAGAACAAGATTTTAAGGAGAAAAATGCTCAAAAATCCACCACCTGAAAACATCAAAATGTTTCCTTATTTTTGACTTCCCTAGACACATTTTGTATAGCTACACTGGTATATAGATAACTGTATTTCCCAGTTCAAAAAATATACTTTAAGAAGATACAAGTAACTAATTTTATATAAACTACTATTAAAGTGCATTCTCTACTAATTATTAAGAATTTATTGCCAGATGTGGTAGCACATTCCTATAATCCCAACAGCTCAGGAGGCTGAGGCAGGAGGATCATGAGTTCAAAGCCAGCCTCAGCAAAATCAAGGTGCTAAGCAACTCAGTGAGACCTTGTCTCTAAATAAAATACAAAATAGGCTGGGGATGTGGTTCAGTGATTTGAGTACCCAAAAAAATAAGATAAGGAATTTTATTTTTAAATGTCCATCATCATTATGATGTTAATTTTAAAAAGAAAAAAAATGGCTTTCAGAGATTGTAATAGAGATACCATTATCTTGCCCCTCTCCAAAAGACTCTCATGAAACTAAAGACAAGAGAGATTTTTTTTTTTTAAAGAATTCTTACTCCAGTAATGGCCAATGGGCCAGAGAGTAACCATAAAGGTTAGAGTCTGAGAATGTCTTATATGTTTTCAGATTTGTGCAGCTATCTTGGGACAATGCTAGGAAACAAGTCCAAGGTGACAGGCAGATGGTAACTCAGGCTAGGCAGTGACAGGAAGTAGAAGAGAGGACAGGACCTACTTGATGGAAGAGCAGCTGGAAAGAGATCATACACGGGCCACATCTGAGGAGATCAGATGCCTAGGTGCGGGGCCCCGGTAGTCTTTCCCCTTCCCTTCTTTTGGCTGGACCACCATTGCATCTTCTTTCCAAATTCACTCTTTTCCCCTCCCTTCTTCTCACTTAGTACCAGAACTCCCAGCTCTGTGCTTTTTGCTTAGAGCATGAGCAATCAGATAGCTTTCCAATAAATCCCTTATCTACTTATTTGAAAGGTATCCTAACTCGTACCCTTTCCAAACTTTTGAACTGAGGAAGATTGTTATGAAAATGAAATGGGATAGTATATGTAAAATGACTGGCATACAGTAGCACCCCATCAATACGTGATTAGAACCTACCTTCCAAAAGGTGGACTTTGAGATATTTTGCTGGTATAGTTAGATAATGAAGCATTTAGTAGAATGTCAGATAAGGCTTTATACTGCCAAAAAATATATATTTTCCACAGTTCTTCTGTTAGTATTAAAGCATTTGGATAGATAGTATTAAATAAAAAAAGAGTTTACACTGGCATAGTGGCACATGCCTGGAGACCCAGCTACCAGGAGGCTGAGGCAGAGGTGTTGCTATATTCCCAGGCCAGGGAACATAGTGAGATTTCTGGCTCACAAAACAATACTCAAGACTATGTGAGAGGACACAAGCTCAATTGGAGGCACCGAACTTACTCTTCATAAAGAACCTCACACGATGCTCGGCTACAGTACAAAAGAAGAGAACTAGCAAAAATAGGTGGCTTTGTTGCCATATGATACAAACAAAAATAAACTAAGTGGTTTTAGTAAACACAGTTCTGTGATCTTTCACAAATTTCACATTTTGTCACACTTTTCCATAAAACCTGTCATTCAAGTGTGTGCACATTCATTGATTTTGTTAAGAACATTGAAATCTGAGACCAATCATTTCATTGTGATGGAAAACTTAAAATGGAAGAAGCAATTGTGTTGAAAGACTATAGCTCAAAGAACCAAAAGAAATAAGATATATAAATAAAGACCTATTATTTCTTTAAAGCCATTCAGGTTTTCAACCTTTAGAAGTACTTTTTTTTTGACATGTCCCTTTAATATCAGGTTTTTTTATTCCTTTCTTGTTTTCAGCTAACGACCTAGTTTTAATGCATTTCTGAGTTATTAATTTATGATGGTTTCTCGCTAGCCACGAAAACTCTTAATTTATACATGGCAAAGTGATTTTTTCTTCAAGGAATTTAGTTATGCTTATGAAGTTTTTATCACCAAGCAAATGAGGAAGGACAAAATTTTTATCAAAACCTTGAGCCAAAATCAGATTCAGTCACTTAAAAAAAGAAGAATCAAGAAATAAACCTGCTACAGCATGAAAAGTATTGCCTGCTAGCAAAAATCACAACAGTAATAAATCCATATGAGAATCATCGTCTGGGTTTCAGTGGGTCAATACACCTGTCGATGTTTTTGATATTACAGAAGCTTTAGTTGAGATCTTACCTTATTCCAAGTAATTATAGGCTGTGGTTCTCCTTGAGCATGACATGAAATGTTTATATTCTTCCCAACATCTACCTTTGCATCCTGAGGAAGTCGAGTAAACACTGGGAGAGCTGTAGGAATGAGCCAAGATAACATCCTGTCGCTATCATTTTAGTCAATATGTGCCAACCCCATCAAACAGTATAAATATAAATGCTAAATTGGTTGTCCACATTAGTTTTAAAAAGTCAATTTACTTGGTCATCTAGGAGAATAATAAACACCAAACTCAGGCTGGTGATAATTAGGACAGAGGACAGAGCAGGAATAAAAGAAGAGGAAAGCACACAAGTGTCAACCATATTCACAATGCTTTATTTCTTCAGCTGAGGAGTGGGTGCAAGGGTTTTCATTATTCTTTCTCAATATCTTTTGGTAAGCCTAAAGGCAAGCTATACAGTTAACATCATTTTTTTTTTAAAGAGAGAGAGAGAGAGAACAAGCTTTTTTTTTCAATATTTATTTTTTAGTTTTCCGTGGAAACATCATCTTTTATTTTTATGTGGTTCTGAGGATCCAACCCAGCGGCCCGCGCATGCCAGGCGAGCGCATTACCGCTTGAGCCACATCCCCAGCCCAACAGTTAACATCAAATTTTATTTCTGGCTAATGTAAAAGGATGCCTTTTCAAAGTAGAAATCTTTTTCCCTCAGAAAGCACAGACCGTCTCAACTCAATTAATAGGAACTAGATGATTAAAATAGCTCCCACAATGAGCAAGGAAATTGGATTTACAATCTTTAAAAACTCCTCCTCCCCCAAAAATGAAAATCAAAAATTACGCTGAGATTTCATCTCACTCCAGTCAGAAATGGCAATCATCAAGAATGCAAGCAACGATAAATGCTGAAGAGGATGTGGAGAAAAAGGGACACTTTACCCTGTTGGAGGCATGGTAAATTAGTACAAACACTATGGAAATCAGTATGGAGTTTCCTCAGATGACTAGGCATGAGAACCATCATATAGCACGCCTTGGTATTAATCCTAAAATATTAAAGTCAACATAATATATATATAATATATATAAATATATATATATATATATATATATAGAGAGAGAGAGAGAGAGAGAGATCTCCATGTTTATAACAGTATAATTCATAATAGCCAAACTGCTGTCCATCAAAAATGGATAAATGGATAAACAAAATGTAGTATATGTACACAATAGAGTCTTATTCAGCCATAAAGAAAAATGAAATTATGTCACTTGCAGGAAAATGGATGGAACTTCAGATCACTATATTATAAGCCAAACTCAGAAAGTCAAGGGTCATATATTTTCTCTCATATATGGAACTATAGAGGAAAAAGGAAAAGAAAGGTGAGTGGGGGTGGAGGAATCTCATGAAAATTGAAGGAAGATCAGTAAAGGACCAGAAGAGGGAAGAAATAGGGAAATGGGGGGGGATGATTTTGGCCAAATTTTATTGTTATGTTGTGTGCATGTCTGAATAAATAACAATAAGTCCCACCATTATTGACAACTATAATGCAGCAGTAAAAATATGGGGAAAAACCTTCCCTCAAAAAAGGAATCTCAAGGAAAGAATGAAAATCATTTTGCTAGAGAATTCTACTAAATGATTTTAAAATATATTATGACGACTCTATATGATTCCTTGCATAAAATAGAAAGGAAGGCAATACTTTTTGACTCACTGTAGGAGGCCGACCCTAACATCCAAATCAGATAGAGACAGTACCAAACAACAACAGCAGCAAACAAAAGAACTACAGACCAATACCTCTCATGAACATGTACACAGAAATCATCAACAAAGTATTGGTAAATAGAATTCATCAATATTAAAAGGTTTATACACCATGGCCAATTAAGGTTTAATCCTGCGACACAATGCTGATTCAATATTTGAAATCAGTCGATTTACCTATATAACTTGCCATTTTAACAGCTAAAGAATAAAAACCACAGGATATCAATCAATACATAAAATGTGTTTGACTGTATTCAACTCACTCATGGTTTAGAAAAAGCTTTCAGAGCCAGCTACGGTGATGCGTGCCTATAATCCCAGCAGCTCCAGAGGCTGAGGCAGGAGAATTGTCAGTTCAAAACCAGCCTCAGCAACTCAATGAGCCCCTGAGCCATTTGGCAAGACCCTGTCTCAAAAGAAAAATTAAAAAAGGCTGGGGATGTGGCTCAGTGGTTAAATGCCCCTGGGTTCAATTCCTGATACCAAAAAAAAAAAAAGAATAAGAAAAAGCTTTCAGAAAAACAGAAATACAGGAGAACCTACACAGCTTGAAAAATAATCCTGCAGTAAGTAGTGAGGGGATACCTTCCCTTCAGATGGGGAATAAGGCAGGGGCATGTGCTCTCTCCACTCTGATCCAACTTAGAACTGAAAAGTCTAGTGCATTATAGCAAGTAAAGGACAAGGAAAGCAAAGGAATAGGATAAGAAGAAATAGAACTCTGTTTCAGATGATACTTTTATCCATGTAAAAAAAAATCTAAGAAATATCAAAAGTATTCTAGAGTGAGTTTGGCAAGGTCACAGAATACAACATAAATGGAAAATCAATGAATCATATTTGTGGACTCAATAAATGAACACACAAACACAAAAATTTTTAAAAACAGTATCATTCAGAATTGCTCAAAAACATGGTATGCGCCAGGTGTGGATGGCACAGGCCTGTAATCTCTTAGACTCAGAAGACTGAGACAGAAGGACCACAAGTTACAGGTCAGCCTCAGCAACTTAGCAAGATGCTGTCTCACAGTTAAAAAAATACAAAAAAGACTGAGCATGTAGGTGAGTGGTAGAGCACCCACAGATTCAATCCCCAGTACAGCAAAAGGAAACCCCAAAAATGTGATGCTTAGGTTTCAATCAAGCAGAACAATCATGTGTGGAAGACCACAGAAGGATGATATAAGAAATGAAAGAAAAGCTAAACAATGTATTCATGAGTTGGAAGTCTCAAGACAGTAAAGATGCCATTTCTTCACAAATTGATATGCAATTTCCATTAAAATCCAAGCAAGAGAATTTTTTATAGATATAGACACGATTACTCTAAAATTTATTTAGAAGTGCAAAGGAAACTAAATAATTTTGTCAAAGAAGAATAAAGTGAGAAGAATCACTCTACTGGATTTAAAAACAGAACAACAAGCTATAGTAATTAAAGTGTGTGGTACTGAGAAGATGGACACAGACCCACACATTAATGGAGCAGAGCAAGATCCACACAAGCCCAGTTCATTCTGACAGAGGTGCGAGAGCAATTCAATGAAAGCCTTTCAACAAATGTGCGGGAGCAACTGAATAATCCCAGGCAGAAAAATGAATCTTGACTCACTAAACAGTCTCACACTTTATACAAAATTAACTCACAATTAACAATAAAACATAAATTGTTTTAACTATGAAAGTTAAAAAAGAAAACACAGGAGAAAACTTTTATAATAGGCCAAAGTTTTGACTCTGTATAAAAAGTGAGATCCATCAAAGAAAACTACATGAAAATTAAAATTTTTATTAGTAAAAGACCAGGTTGAAAACTAAAAGACAACTTAGGGAAGGAGAAGAAATATTTTGCAAAACACATATACAACAAAGGGTTAGTATATAAAATATATGAAGGAACCTAAAAAGCCAATTGTTTAGGGAAAAAAAAAAAACAGTTCAAACAGAAAATGGGCCAAAGACGTATCATTGTACCAAGGAGGATATACAGATAGCAAATCCGTGCGTGAAAAGGTTCTTAACATCATTAGACATTGTAGAAATGCAAATTAAAGCCATAATGAGGTATTATTGCATACCTATCAAAATGACTAAAATATATATATATATATATATATATATATATATATATATATATATATATATTATATATAACAGGAACAGAAGTCATTGGCAAGGATGTAAAGAAATTAGATTACATACCACGGGTGAGGTTATAAAATAGTATAGCCATTCTGCAAAGGATTTTGAATTTATTTTTAAAAATGTAAACATGCCAACTACCAAATAATACAGCAATTGCTCTCTTAGGCACCTATCCCTGAGATATTAAAAATTTAAATTCACATAAAAACCTGTACATGGATCTTTACAGCACTTTTACTTATGATAGCCCAAAGCTGGAAACAACCCAGATGTCCTTCAACAAGTGAATGATAAAACAAATAGCAAATTATCCATGCCTTGGAGTTCTACTACAGAACAACACAAAGGACAAAATACTGATATATATATGCATTCTGAATGAACTTCTAGATAATTATGCTAAGTAAAGAGCTAATCCAAAAAGATTATGTACTCTATGATTTTGTTTATATAAAATTCTTTTCTTTTTCTTTTTTTTCTTTTTGGTACCAGGAATCGAATACAGGTGTACTTAACCATTAAGCCACTTCCCTACCTCCTTTTATTTTTTTATTTTGAGACAGAGACTCATTAAATTGCTTAGGGCTTCCCTAAGCTGCTGAGGCTGGCTTTCAACTTGTAATCCTCCCGTTTCAGCCTCCGAAGTTGCTGCTGCATGCACCACTGCACCCAGCTCACATAAAATTCTTGAAACGACAAAATTATAGAATTGGAGAACACATTGGTACTTGTCAGGGTTTTGGGAGGTGAGAAATGTGAGACGGCAAGAAAATGGGAGGGAGAGGGGTGTGGTTTTGAGAAGGACAACATAGGCGATTCTTGCAGGGAGAGAAACTGTATCTTGATATACTGATGTCAATATCCTGGTTGTGATATTGTTTTGAAAGATGTCACTGCTAGAAAAGGACAAATGGGATCTTTTGTGTTATTTCTTGCTATTGAATGTCATTGCACAATTATCTCAAAATTAAAGGTTTAAATAAAATTAATCAATGACATGAACATACGTGGAAATAATATTCAACAACAGTGCACATTGCTTAAGGATCCCAGGGAAACTGATTCAGCCAGGAACTTCACGCATCTAAACCTCACATCCTAGCCTCATTATTTGACTTCCTTTATCTCCAGCCACTTTGACCTCCTGTCACACAGCTTCTCATTACCATGGACTGTGCCACTGCTTATAATATCTTGGAAATA